GCTGCCAAGTCAGCGAGAAATTTTTTCCAACACCTGAAACAGCTCAAGCATAGTGATACGGGCTTTGCCTCTTTCTGCCCAGTCTTGATGTTACCCTGGAGACAGCAGCAGAAGCAACAACCAGGACACCATCACCCAGTCACACAGCTCCCAATTCCACAGGTGGGTGCTGGAGAACTGCTTCACTCACTGCAGGTTGGCCTGACTAGTACCACCGCTATGTAAGACCTCCTGGACTGTTATCGAAGACCTCCTGGACTAGGAGAGGGAGATCTTATTAGGGAGATTGGGTGGGTCCAATCCACTCTGCAGGTAAACATGTAGCCTCTCTGCCATGTCTCTAATCCAGGGCCCAGCACAGCCCGGTTACCTAATCTTGGCTCATGCTAATGGGAAAAAAGTGAAATTGTGAAACAAACCTCAGAAATTTTGTAGAAAAGAGTCAAGCAAGATAAGGTAAAAGTACAAATGGAGGTGGGATTGTTGAGGTAGGTGTAAGTAGCACTTCAAGGATTTAAGGGGATGTCCTGGTTTCAGTATTTTTCGTAGGGTTTTTCCATACCAACATGGAAAGATTAAGAAATACCAAAGCAATAAAAGAAAAAAACTCTCAGAAGATGTCAACTCGGCACCACCAAAGTGCTACGCCAGGGAGCCCTGGAGGATGACAAACCTTTCCTCTCCTGGCGGATGCCTGCCTGGCTAGTAAAGACACCTTGAGGTGATGAGGCTATTATTGCTTAGCCTGAGAGCTTACTAAATCCTAACCATCTCTTGTTTGTCTTAATAAATAAGTATTTTATACCTTGTGTATACATTGCTTGCAGCATCTCTTTATGCACAGTGAAAGCTGCTCAAAACGGCCCAGAAATAACACCGGACCCCTTACTCAAGGAAATGAAGTTGCCTCTCAATACTACTGCGCTTTCTCAGGTGTGTCCTGTTCAGAACGTGGCTGCTCTTCATCCTGGGCTGTTCTTCGGGACCGCATTTACAGCCTTACCCTATGACATTCCCTGGCTTTGTTAGGACACTGTTAAGCATTATCCAGTCTGTCTCCAAACTTCACTGTGAAAACACCAGGACGCACTCTGCTTCTCTTCGTTAATATCTTAGCCAGGCACAAACTGGTGGGACCCATCACTCATGACAGACAGTGAGAAAGTCTCTGAAGCAGCCTTTAATTTTACCTTTGTTATTTGGCCTTCAGGCTCTAAAAGCGCTGGCTAGAAACCCCTCCATGGGGTAGCGGACGCAATGCAGGCGCCAGTGCACGTTCCCACTGCAGCGCAGGAAACCGCGCGGCATGCACGGAGCGCGTGAGCCCGACGCCTCTCTCGGCGGCTGCGAAATTGCCTGCTGCACCTCGGGCTGCACTTTGCCCCTCGCCTTCCCCACCAAGTCATGAGACCTGGCATCAGTGCATCAGACATTAGCTTGATAAAGCAGTTCGCAATGACCACTGGGGATATTTCCGGGACTCTCTTTTATCCATCACCAGCTTCACCTGCCTTCCCTCTTACTAAACGTTTGATCTTCACCCCCCTCTTTTTTTTATCCAAACACTTGCCTCTTCCTCCATATGTGTGTGGTTCCTCCTTGTCTTTAAACTCCTCCCATTCTGGAAATATTGCTCATTACTTAGAATCACAGGCCCTTCTTTTAAGTGGGAGTCCAAACTCTCTCCCTCTCCAAGAGAGGAACTGAGTTCATGCGTATGCCCCGACTTAGTGACATTTACATGGTTGAAATCTTGCCCCTAGGCTTTGCTGTCAGGATCCCAGGTTGGTAAATCAAGCAATTCAAGTTTAAGAGATTGCAGAGTAGTATTTAAAGAGATGACATTTAAATTAAAATTACCACAAAATGACTGCAATTTTGGTATGAAAAAGGCAAGCTATAAAATTGATGTATTAAACTCTGTAGTTTTCTCTAAATTTTATGTTGAAACTGTATTTTCAATGATTTATGACAATACTTAATTTCATCATTCAGTATTTTCAAAAAGGTTTTGTAAAACCAAAGGATGCATCATTTCTGTAGGAGGCTGAATAGTTGTTAGAAGAAATAACTGCTTACATACTGCTCTATTCACATTTGGAGAAGTTTTCAAATTTCTGAAACAATTCAGAATTCAGAAATGGTTCAGATTTATCTGTTTATTTTTCCCCTAAACCTTTAATGCTCTTGGGGCATAATTCCCAAGATGTCAATGTAAAATACAAACCACTGTCCTAATGGTTAAGTCATTCATCCACCTGGAGTAAAATACGAAGACAGTGGTGCTGGTAATCAAACAGCAGTGTAACTACCTGTCGAAACAGGAGCCGGACTCCTTCCCAGCCAAGCACTTCTTACAGACAAGACCATAGGAAGCTTCTCTGTGATGGTTTGGTCCTTCTGGTCACTGCCTTTTGCACGCCTGGTATGTTGCCCATTGTTCCTACTCACCTGTTCGGCAGTCAGAATAGGTACCTAGAAAGTTCGTCACCTCAGGATACAGCAATCATGAAAATCAAGTTATTCCATTCTCTGGGTAAATGCTCTATGCACTTGGCAATCCTGACAAACTTCCTAGAAGCTTCCCCTGTGTCCAACAGAGCCCGTGCCAGCCGGCTCCAAGATGGACCCACCACTGGCCAAGTCCATCAGCTATGGTGGCAGCGTCTCTGAGGGAACAGAGTTTAGGAAGGGAAAAAAAAAAGCACCTGGGCAATTGCAGCCGGAGAGAGAAATGAGAATATGTGAGGAGCAACTCTGCAGACACCAAGGCCAGAGCAGCAGGAGGAGCAGGAGGGCTCCAGGCGCCGGAGCAGAGGGTCCCCGGCAGCCCCTGGG